ATGACTGGAATCCCAAATGAGCCAAACTGCAACGTGTTTTATGCTGTTTCCACACTCCAAACGCATTTTGCAATCTATTTCCTTAAGCCTACAGGACTGCTCTCTCAAATTCCACTTCCCACTTGGCCAGAAACGTTAAATACAAGCTCTCCTTACCGGCAGCACCTTTCATTTCCCTGCTCAGATTTCTAAGCACATCAGAGGGGTTAGCACGTGTTAACAGAGCCATTGTCATGAGATAATGGCCTGCTATTAGAGCATCTTTTTTCTTTCCTTTTCCTTTTGATGGCCTTGGGCCATTTTCCTGTGATGTGAGAAATGATGTCTTGCAGTTCTTGGACATATTATGGACTCAGCCTTCTGTCTCCTTGTCACAAAGCACCATCAGTTCTGTGATCTCTTTAGAGCCCCCGGATGCTGTGTGATACCACGACAAACTCGAACGGCTGATGGGGAGCAGAGCAAACCCTGAACCCAAAGCTCTGCATCCCTGCACACGGTGCACTCTCACCTGCTGTCTCTGTGGGAAATGGAGCTCCTCGTTCTCCTTTGCACAGCTGGGAGAAATGGAAAGCATCAGCCTAAGCAGTTAAACGTTGAGGTCAAGGTCTAAGGATTTACCAACTCCAGTTACAGTCTCCACTTGCTTTTCCTTAACGAAATAAAGCAGCTTAAATGACCTGAAAATACTGAGGTAAGCAGCCAGGTGAAAAAAGACAGAGGAGCTGGAAAGGAGCGTGGGGACAGCTTAGTGCTGCCAGAGGAGCAGCAACCCAGATCTAAAGGAAAAATGTTCTGACTGTCCCCACAGCATGAGGTCAGGGATGGGTGTGTGGGTACAAAAAAGACAGGGAGCTGTTGGAGAGGGTCCAGAAGAGGCCACGAAGATGATCAGGGGACTGGAACACCTCCCCTATGAGGACAGGCTGAGGATGCTGGGCTTGTTCAGCCTGGAGAAGACAAGGCTGCAGGGTGACCTCATTGCAGCCTGCAGTACCTAAAGGGAGCCTGCAAACAGGAGGGGAATCAACTCTTGGAAAGTGGGGGGTAACAGCAGGACAAGGGGAAATGGTTTGAAGTTAAGGGAGGGAAAATTGAGGTTGGATGTCAGGGGGAAGTTCTTTGCTATGAGAGTGGTGAGGTGCTGGAACAGCTGCCCAGAGAGGCTGTGATGCCCCGTCCATCCCTGGAGGTGTTCAAGGCTGGGTTGGATGGGGCCCTGGGCAGCCTGGGCTGGTATTGAATGTGAAAGTTGGTGGTCCTGCATGTAGCAGGGCGTTGGAGATTCATCATCCTTGGGTCCCTTCCAACCCTGGCCATTCTGTGATTCTGTAGTCCTGTGGAGAAGAGGGATGTTGAGAGCCGTGGTTGTGTGAGTTGCGGAGACTTTTGGAGGTCTCTGGTCCTGCGCTTTGCTCCTGGCAGAGCAAACATGCAGTGGCTTGCTTAGGGCATTGCACAGCTGAGCTCTGATCGTGGCAGGTGCCCTCACCCTTATCCCAGTACTGAATCTCCATGCACTGTAAAATCTCACGTACTGCTTTTTTCCTTCCAGGATCCTGCCACCCTCCAAGCCACAAGGATGAGAATGCATCAGAGAGGGGCAGGGCAGAGCCTGGTGGTGCACAGAGGATGCAAGGTGCAAACAGGGCGCACCAAGTTGGGTGCAGCCTTCCTGCCACCCTCCATTCCCTTTGATGCTGCACACCCTGCTGAGCTGCTTGCTTGTTTGTTTAACTTTTCTGCCGCAAGGGTTAAACAAATCAAACATTAGTGATTCAGTGCAAATGGCAGGAGGCTAAGTGGTGTTATCTTTAATTACTGTCGGTGTCAAGGAGAGCAAGCGGGGAGCAGTGGGGGGCTGTGAGACTGGTTCGTACCTTGGTTGAAGGGGGGGGGGGGGGGGGGGGGGGGGGGGGCAGGATTGCCATTTGTATTCAGATGGGGACATCTAGTGACCAGCCTGACATATAGCGAGGATTGAGCACCCCAGCGGTACAACGGGGATGAAAAGCCTGGTTTGAGAAGCAGCTCGAGTGTTGCTGGAAGCGCTCCTCGCGTCTGCAGCATCCTTCAGAAGATGTCCCAGAGCGGTGAGCCCTTTAGGACTGACCCTGCTGTCCTCGGCAGGACCGTGGGGTCTTTTCTCAGCCCCTTCTGTGTCCTGCTGTGCTGCAGGGCTTCCATCCAGTGCCGCATGTGGTGGGGACATTCCCCTTGAGCAGGGTCCAGCACGAGCTGTGGTTCCTTTGGGTGCATGGGGATGAGTGTGATGACAAGGGGTGCCTCGGGGTTGAGTGCTGGCTTGATGTCTCTGCTTCCCGAATTCTGATCATGGGGATGTGCCCTGAAATGTGGGAAGAAACCTCCATCTACCTCTGCCTTCTCCTTGTGAGTTTTCTCAGGAAACAGCTTCTGGGTTTCAAGAGTTTCCATTGCTGCCCGAGGTGCTGAGATTAGATCTCAATTCTGAATGCTTTCACTTCTCTCTTCCTGCAGTTATTTCAACCTTAAATTTTCTTTTCTCTTACACCTGCTGCAATGAAGATCTCCTACATAAATATATTTGAAAGTAATCCTTTATTGCCCCAAGTAGCCCTCGCTATCAGCTCTAGCAGTGGTGCCCATAATTACTTTCTTCCTAGTAGCTGGTTGGACACTGTGGCTAATTTGTGGATATACTGACAAAACCCATAAACGTCAGGTGATTGCATCAAAAGTGAACCGTATGAAAGGTCAGGCAGGGATTTCCTCCATGGGGGCAGTTGACTCATTTTCTGCCATTTGTTGTGGTGTGCAGATCTCTGCACAATCCCATTATCTGGAGCTCTCAACACAGGACATGCCCACACCACACACCTGGCTGCCTGCTGACCCACATCAGGTCGTGCTGTGGTACCAAAGCCTGTTTCCAGATGGCTGTGGTCAAGTTGTCCCTTTGCCACTCTGATGCCAGCTTATCTGGAGCAGTGCTTCTTCCATTGCTGTCTCCACTTATAAAATGGAGCTGGTTGAAGGATGGACCTGAAGCGGACTGGGCTGCAACATTCATTTTATGGAATGCTTATGAATGTTTTCACTTCTCTCTTCCCACAGTTATTTCAACCTTAAATTTTCTTTTCCCTTACACCTGCTGCAATGAAGATCTCCTACATAAATATATTTGAAAATAATCCTTTATTTCCCCAAGTAGCCCTCGCTATCAGCTCCAGCATTTTCCACATTTCAGGGCATTTTATGGAATGGACATTTTACCCTTCTCTGTTTGAAATTTGGGGTTTTTTTTGCAGCAGGAATCACACTGGGTTGGGGGAGAAAGATGCACAGCGTGAGAGCTGTGGGCAGCAGCGTGTTGTGAACCCAGAAATGTCACCAGGAGCTTTCCAGAGGGGGCTGTTCTCCAATTGCAGACTGGTCCATCATCCATGATGGGGTTCAGCTGTGTGTGATGTGCTCAGTGGGCTGGATAATAACGCACCTCCTTGTTCAGCTGGGAACCTACCCATCTGCTTTGCCCTTCGTCTGCCATAGGACAATGTGGGAGAGCAGTGACTCCCCTTGCCCACCTGCATAGCACCTCATATTGAGCCTGGAGTGCTCCACGATGCCCCTGTGCTGTCATTAGGGAGAAGTGGGGTAACAATCTCCACCATGGTACTGCCCAAGGACAGATAACTGTCCAGCATGTAGCATTATCTCAGGTCTAATCCTGATCCTAATAGTGGGAAGCAGGCCACGGAATGATAAAATACCACAACAACCATAAAACTCACAAACAGTTCCTGCTGTGGTGGGTGATTAAAAAATAAATAAATCCAAATGACTATCTGAAGTATAAAGCCACCTAAAATTGATCTCCAGAGCTCTGAGCCTCTGAGTCCATCATTAAAGGCATTACGCAGGGCGCTGTGTGTGGGCTTGGTGGAGCTTCTTCCCAAGTGGGACATAAAGTGAGAAATAATTTTCACAACCTCAATTTAGCAGCACCTTAAGCTGTCTGTTGACTGAATTGCCTCAAAGGAGGATTTGGAGGCAGGGAGAGCAGTGCTTTCTGCAGGGAAACAGTAAATTCACACAGCTGAGACAGGCTGCAGTGCCTGATGTCGCTGGGAGAAACAATCTTAGCAAGTGGTTAAGATTATCTGCTACCTGCATGTTTATTAGCAGCAATTATATGGTGTTGGTGTTCCAAATTGCTGCTGAAAGATGTTACCGAACGGAAAGCCCTCGGTTTAATTGAAAGCACGTTTTAAATTTGATTATTTATGGCTCTGTGTTATGATATCAGTGACCTGCATGAGAAAATCCCTTCCCCAGAGGGGTGGTGCAGGCAGATCTGTGTGCAGATGGAGCTTCATCCCCTGGGAGGAGCAGAGGTCTCTGATGCACAGCACCAAGGGGAGGTCAGGAGGATCAGCCAAGCATTTTTCCTAGTCCCAGAAGACAGCATTTTGCAAATTGCTTCACCAGAAGATCTAAAGGATCTCAGGGCTTGTTGGCAATGTGGTGAAAAGGGCGGGTTGTGTGGAGGGAAGGTAACTTCACATTTTCCATTCCAACATTCCAACAAATATTCACTGTGCATCCACCAATGCATATTTTCGGACATACAAATAAGGTTTTTCATTGTGTGCAGCATCTTTTGTTTCCAAGATAAGCATGTAATTAACTGAAGGATGATGCAAAGGGAGGCTCATCTACCACATTTCCATCTTGCAGCCTCCGGCAATCCATTAATGAAGTCTAATTACGATGTCAAAATTTCTAGCCCAGTGATTAATTGACTTTGGAGATGCGAGAGTTTTTGTGTTGTTTTAAGCCAGCAGACGTGAGAAGGGAGGAAAAGGAATTGTTAATTAGTTTAGTTGCTGCTCGGGAACGTGATGGGACAGCGGCTCTTAACGCAGCGGCGCGGGGTGCGGAGCAGTGCCTGCAGTGTCGCGTTTAGGCCAGCAGGTGGCAGCAGCGCGGCGCTGGGGCGGACACACGCTCGTCCGGCGTCGCTCCCCTGCCGTTACGATAGCAGGTCCGCCCGGCTGTACTGCGCATGCGCTGGAAGAGCGGAAGTTGTGTGTGCTTCTCTGCGCCCTGCTTGCGGAGCTGAGCGCTGCGTGGCTCCTGCGGTTCCTTCATGCACACGAAACGGGCGTTAAAACGCACCCACCGCAGGCGGTGGTTCTACAGAGAGCTGCCTGATTGTGTTCGGCCGTTCCCAGGGCCGCTCCGATGTGCGCATTGGGCACAGGGAGGGGGTTTGGGGTGAACCAAGCCCTCCCCCGCCCGCTGCTTTTCCCCCAGCACGACCCGGGCTCAGGTTCCCCTTTGTGCACGGAGCGAAGTCCCTGAAACTTTCATGAGGGCATCGGATGGCCGACGAGAGCCGCCCCACCTCCCCGCCTGCCGCTGCGCATCGCCTCTGTCCCGCGCCATGACCCAGGGCATCTGGGGGCTCTACAAAGCCAGGGTGCTGCAGACCCTGGGGGGGGCACGGGCTGACGGTGCGCTGCAGGAGGAGGTAATGGGGAGTGGTGGGGGGGTTACGGCTGATTGCAGCTCCCTGCCCTCCTCCTGCTCTCACTCGGTTGGGTTCGTTGCAGGGAGACCCTTCCGAGCTGATGGAGGCAGCGGAGCCTCCCGCGCTGATGGAGGAGGGATCCGGCCCTGTGTCCCAGCTGGCACGGAAGGTGAGGATTGCGGCTGTGGGCGCTGCTGCGATCGGGAGTCCCAATAACTCCCAGTGAGCCCCGTTGAGTCGCACTGTGCTTCCTCTCCAGGTCCAGGGGGGCTGGAGGACGCTCTCATCTCTCTTCACCCGCGAGGATGAGCACCAGCTGCTCAACCCAGAGCCCTGCGCCGACCAGTAAGTCTTAAGGAGGGAGGGGGGCTCCCATAGCCTAGATTTTGCCCTGGGCTCTGCATCCCCATCTGTTCCCCCATCACCTATGATCCCAGATATGCCCCAGCACTGAAGCTGGTTCAGGAGTCCCTGTGTTCACATCCCCTCCCCTGCTCTCCCTTTAGCCCCCTTGCTGCCGTGCCAGCTGAGCTGCCTCCCGCCCAGAAAGCAGCCGGCTTTTGGGATCTCTTCGCTACCAAATGGCAGCAAGCATCGACACCGGACAAGGAGGTGGCCTCTCCAGAGCTGAGTGAGAGTCCCACAGAGCCACCAGGTGATGAGGGCCCCAGCGACCTGCGAGAGCCAGAGGAAGGGGCCTTCAAATGGGGCTTCCTGGCCAGCAAACTGGCTGAAATCCGAAATAAAAATGCTTCCAAGGGCAACTAGAAGAGGCGATGCCAACGTGGCCCTGCGGCAGCGCCAGCCAGTGATGCTGTGATGGGCCCTGGCAATGTGGAGGTTTTGGCACTAAAGACCCCACGGCGCCCTTCTCCCTGAGCGTGTGTGGTGCTTTCTTTGCCTTTGTCTCCTAGAACAGCCCTGCCACATGTGGAGCCCCATTCCATCCCCAAGACTGCAGAGCTGCCCCAGCGGGTTGAGACCCTCCAGAGGGATGGGAGGAGGCTTGCCACCTCAGTCCTCAAAGCATCCCCCATCCACTCAGGCACTGTTGGAAGAAACCACAGATGCAGCCACGCTAGAAGAAAACCACAGGTTTGTTTATTAGAGTCCTGCTCCCATCCTAGCAGCCCCTTTCCCACTGAGGCTGATGGGGAGAAAGCTGCCATTCTAAACCACAACCAGAAATAGGGAAGACCAAGAGGTAGGGACCAGTAAGGAACAGCAGCCTTCCAGCCACCACGGCTAGGCTGGACTCACCCAAAGAAAGTCCCTGGGCACCCCACCCACACCTCAAAAAGCAGCTATTGGTGGGCAGCATATCCAAGGGGTGAAGCAGTTGTCCCTTCTGTGGGCAGACCTTGTCTCTGCTCAGGGTAGACTTGGTGTCCCTGCTGGCCTGCAAGCAGCACCATTGTGTCAGGGTGCTGCCACTCCCCAAACCACATCCAGCAAGAGCAGGGGGCCGTTATCATCCACCTAGACCCACACACGGCTGGCTGGGGTGCTTCCTTTCAGACTGTGGATTCCTTGGCGGCCGCCCAAGCTCGCTGGCAGCCATAGAGCCATTTGATGACACGGGCATTGCGCTCCACCACCGAAATGGCGGAGCAGAGCCGTGCGTCCGGCTCCTCCTCACCTGGCCCCACGTCCTCACCGCTGCATCCTGACGCCTGGCTGGGCTCCCACTCACAGGAGCTGTGGAGCCGCGCTGAGGCAGCATCCCATCCCGCTGGCACAAACCGTTCCTTCCCCAGCCCTTCCACCATGGCCCGATCCAGCCCACAGTAATTGAAGAACCGCTCCTTCTCCGAAAGCGGCAGGGACAGGCGCAGCCCGAGTGCCGGTTTGCTGGGGCCAGGGGAGGCGGGGGGCTGGGCCAGGCTGGAGGCGTGGGGGGGCTGCGGCACGGGGCTGCCAGGCACCGGGACGATGCTGCTGCTGCTGCCGGCACCCGGCGTCTGCACATCTTCTGCTTGTTCCATGGACGCCCACAGCATGGGGCTCTCGGAGGCTTTATCCGACCCTTGGGCCGGGGGAGAGCTGGGGGGTTTGTCCCTGAGCGGCCCCTGGAAGAGGCGTCGCACCAGCCCGTAGCCCTTGGTGTTCTCCTTGTTGATCGCTGGGCAGTCCCGCTTCTGCCGGTAAATGACGAGCGAGTCGGGTCTCAGCAGACGCCTGCTGCCACCTCCCCTCCGCGGCACAGGGGACGAAGGACAGGGCAGCACCTTGCGGCTGCCTTCACAGCTCAGATCCGAGCCGTGGCAGAACTCGTGGCGCTGCTGCAGCGCGAGAAGTCGCCGGCCGCGGGGCGAACAGCAGGGCGAGCAGCCTCGCAGTGCCGGCTCCTGTCGGCTGTTGATGACCTGCTGCGATTTGACGTATTTCACTTTGTCTGCTTCCAGCCGCTCCACGGCGCTGGGTGTGCGGCCACCGCCGCCTCCCCCCAGCTGCTCCCGCAGATACTCGGGACCCCGGTTCAGCAAACGCAGAGGGGAGACGCCGCGGCCAGAAGCGCAGACGGCTCGGGGGGTGCTGCCGAGTGGGACCATCGCCTGCCAGCCAACCCCGTGCGGGATGGGGACCCCAAAGCCGCGCTCAGCTTCTGCGCTCAGCCGCTGTCCTGGGAGGAGAGAGGAGCGGTGGGGTTAGCGATGGGGATGGGGTTGGAACCAGAGATGAGTTTGGAACCGAGGGTGAGGTTGGCACCAAGGGACGTGGCACCACCAGCAAAAGGACCGGGAGCGACACAGAGCCGTGCAGGGGGACAGGACTGGTCCCTGCCTGCACAGGAGGCGCCCTGCAAACCGGGGCAGGAACAATCACGGGCAGGAAGAGAGAAGCACCAGGCATCCGCCGGCTTCATCAAGATCCCAAGAGCAGCTTCGTACAGGAAACTTACTGGAGCCATTGCTTTATCTTTACGAGCCCGGGGACAGCAGAACAAAGACAGTATGGGGAAGCCAGTGTGCTTCCCCAGCCCTCCCTCCCCTTGTGCCAGCAGTGGGGGCCCTTTTGGCTGCTGGGGTTTCCGTGCTGTTCGGGGCATCGTGGCTCCCCACGGTGCTGGGCTGGGCCGGGCTCCCGGCTCTGTTTCCCTTTCAGGAAAAGAAAACAAAGGAGCTCCGGGAAGGTTTATTTTAAGCAGAGGCTGTTTGGTCGGCACCACAACTCTGCTGGGGGCTCATCCTCTCCTGTCCTGTCCCTCTGCAACAAGGGGTCCCTAAGGCAGGCTCTGGGATAATCGATTCCTCTCCTATCACCACTCATTTGGGAGTGTCAAGGAACAATAAACAGCCCTTGCTCAGCTTTAACCAAGCACCCATGCAGGGACGGTGGGGGACAATGTTGAGACCAAGCAGGCGCACAGCAATGGGGCCATAAATTGAATAGCAGAGGTGGCTGTAAATGCCCAAAGCAGATGGTGCCCCTGAGCAAAAGAGGCCCAAATGGCCCTGAAAAGCCACCTCTGGGGTGATGATGGGGACAGAGAGACCACAGCTATCCAGAGAGCAGGCAGCCTAGGAGCCTTCTGCCTCCACACGCAGCCCAAGGGCTTCAGCAGTGCATCCACCCCCATTTTACAGATGGTAAACTGAGGCACTGAGATTTTTTCAGATCCTGTGCTCCTGAGGGACAAACTCCCACATCTCCATGGGTTTCAAGAGCTCTGCAGTGCTTCCATGGATGCTGCCCCCAGTACATGATCCTGTCACCCCCCCCCGGGCTGCAGTGTCTCCGTGCCCCCAGCCCAGCCCCAGGTCCCATATGTCCCAGCTGTGTGCCGGTGCTGGGGCTGCTCGTGCTCACCTGGGCCTGTGCAGGGTGCTGGTTGGTCTCCTCTGCTCCTGTTTCCTCCAGCAGCCAGCAGCAAACTGAGCCCAGAGCCGCAGGAGCCTCATATAGAGAGGGAGGAAGAGCCACCCCATTAACCCCTGCCAGCCCAGCCCCATCAGCACATCCTGTTCTGTGCCAGCACCCTGCCAGCACTGAGCCCTCAGTCCCTGCAACCTTTACACCCCAGGCTTCCCCTCAGCCACGGGCTCCATCTCCCAGTTCTTCTTACGGGATCGCAGCCAGGATCCTGGCTGTGGGACAGGCTCCCCTCCATCCCTCTGACCCCTGAGGCCATAGCAGCATTGTCTGCCTCCCCCCAGAGGAGCCCGCTGTGTCTGACCCCACACACACCAGGTGCATCGGGAACAGGGCAATGATTACCTGGCACTACAATCCCCTTCCTCAGGGTCCTGCCTAAGCCCACAGGAACGGGGCAAAGCGAGGTCCTTCCAGTACCTTCTGCCAGCGGTGAAAGGGTCAAAGTGAGCTCGGATCCAGGCAGGTTCCTGCCTCCCCTTCCCCGGGAAGGGCTGTAAATTGCAGGAAGCCGCAGGGACCAGAGCCAGCCCAGGGGTTATTTTTACCTCTGCCCTCTTCCCTTCCCGGAGGGCTGAGTGTCCTTTCCGGCCCCAGCCCACCTCCACTCCCAGCATCCCAAAACGTGGGCAGACCTCAGCTCCTTGGAGTTGGCACTGCAGAACCCAAGAGAGGCCTCAGCTCCCCACATCCCTCCCGTGCTGAATGGGAGTGGGGTACAGCCCAGGCTGCAGCCACATGACCACTACCTGCAGGGAACCAGCAGGCTCTAGTGGGAACAAAGATGTGACACTTGTAGGTTCTGTGTCTGAAAGGGAAAAGAGGAGAAGGGAAAAGAGCCCTGCCCATCCCCATGGAAGCTCCATGGCATCCAGCATGCCCCTGTGTACAGGCAATGCAGCCAGGGCTGTACCCCAGTGCTGGAGCTGAGGCCATAGCAACATCCCACGCACCAGGTCCTGTCCAAGCTCTGCTGGCACAGGCCAAACCCCACTGAAAGTGAGGCAGGACCAATCTGAGGAGGAGGACCCCACCGTGCAGCACTCATTCCCCACGCAGGATACAGCCAAAGCAAGGCAAACAACGCTCCAAAGGAAGATGAGGAAAAGGACAGGGGGAAGAGGCTGAGAAACCCATGGCAAGGCTGGGATCTGCTGCCCTCCCACACAGAGCACAGATTGCCACCTGGGGGAGGAGCAGACCCTATTGTTAATGCCAGGCAACAGCAATGACTGTTTCTCAAAACACGTTTTATTTTGTGAGCTGGAACCCAGCCTGCCGTTCCGGTAAGGACAGCCATGAGAAGAGCAGCCTTCAGTTCACCTTTGCGTGGCGGATGTGGACGATTCCTGTGAGGCACTTCCAGCAGGCGCCTGCAACTTCCCCTGCCCTGGGAAAGGGATGGACAGACAGACACACAGACAGACAGGCCGCACTGGGGCGCGGGGGGGGGGGGCATTTGTAGCTCATACTGACTGCTGAACTGTTAAAACCCCAACCCCAACTCCTTTGGGGATACAAAAGGGGATGGTTTGAAGGGCACTGGGATGCTGGGCAGCTCCTGCTTCCCTGGGTGAGGCAGTGAAGCTTTGTCACTTCAGCTTAAGCTGTTTACTCCATCCATTAGCCTCTAACAAATGCACCAGAGCCATACAGATGCTCAAACTCCCGTTATTTAATTAAGGCTGTTTTTCTTACAGCCCCAACGCTGACTGTGGTTACATGGGGGCTTCAGGTTTGGAGCTGTTCATGGGGTGCTTCCAGTCCTCGTGGTGGGAGAGAAGAATTTGAGGAAGTCCTCAAAGGTCAAACAGCCGGGAGCACTGCTCTCCTCCAAAGTGATTTTTCAGATCACATCCAGCTCTGATTAAACAGCTTCACTCCCAGCATGACCTCCTCTCTCCTGGCAACAGATAATTGCATGCCCCACCTCGTCAAGGAGATCACATGCCTTCCTGCACGGCTCTGATCCACCCCAGAGGAGCAGCAGGAGCAGCCCCAGGAGGAGGCTGAGGCTGTGGCCAATTGATGCCGCAGGGAGGACTTCCAGAGGGGGAATTTGGCATGGCTAGCAGAGCTCACAGCCCACTCCTGTAAGGGGGAAGAAGCTGTTTGTGTAGTCATAGGACATTGACCTATCGCCCCTGCATGCCCCAAGCAAAGCTGTGGGCTAGAGAGACTCCTGGGGGCAGGGTCTGATCCCCAGAAAAGGCCCCAACAGCCCAACGTGCACCAGGATATTAGGAAAAGCAGAAGGGGTAACAGCCCAATCTGTGGCATTAAGTGGTAAATAAGTGGAGCTGAATGATTTTCACACTTCTCAGGAGTTCAGTCTGCCCGTGGGAGAGTGGTCAGGACTGAACGTGCCCCTCAGTCACCTTTCCAGATGCATTTCTCCTTTGAAAATCACCAACATTGGGTGACCAGGTGCAGACATGACTGTAAAACTGACAATGTTACCATCTGTTGCTACTTGTCTGCTTACTTTCACAACCCACAAAAGCCCTTCCTGATCCGAAGCCACATAAATGCCACGGAAAGGAGAGCAGCTGAAGTGAGCTGGCAGCTCAGGGCAGTACAGCTGCACGCCAGGGGCCTGAGATGCATGGATTTTTACTGGGGAGCGAGCAGGAGTGGAAGATCTGCTACACTAGCTTAAAAATATCAAGGGCTCAAATGGGCATCAATAAATCTGAAACCAACACCTAATCTAAGGCAGCCATCCACAAGCTTTTGCAAGCAGAAACCAGAGAGCAGTTGGGCACAGAAGAAAGACTGAGATTCACACAGACCTTGGTGCCCTACGGATGAACCTTCGGAACAGTCGGCCTGGATGAATTCTGGAGCCTGTGTCTGGGAAGTAAAAAAGCTATTGGGAGAGGTGGGAGGTGGTGCTGTGATGGAGGGCCTCCCCAGGGTGTGTTGTGATGAACCTGCCCCTTCCTCCAAGGAACCCACAAACATTATGTTGCATGGTTTCGTTTCAAATCCCAGAGGCTACAGAGGCCTCAGTGCACCACAGTGCAATTCTAATGCTGGTCCTCCCTCTGCCCACTTTAAAAAATGCAAAGCAAGTCAGCCATATCTCCAGCATCCCACCCCAGCATACTTTACCTGGCTAAAATGCTCCAGAGGTGCAAGCTGTGTGTGGGAGGCACTGCAGGGAGGCAGCCTTCCTCTTCCTCGCCCAGTCTCACAGCAGATGCAGGTCCAACTCACCACCTGCAGCTCCTGTTTGCCACCTGCCAGCTCAGCCTGCAGGTCAGGCACTGCACATCCCTGGGCAGCACCATCTGCTCCTTACCAACCACAACCCTTCTGCAACTGCTTTGTGCTTCAGGCACCCAGATGAACCTGGAAACTCATCTGGGAACAGAGTGACTTAAAGGAGAGAATCACCCGGGCCATGGCTCCTCTTGCAGTGATGCAGCGGGTTGCTGGCTGATCTTTTGGCTCACTCAGCTTCTCCACTCTTCCCCTGCTCTGCTTATAGAGGCAAAGCATCTCAGACTGCCTCAAATACTTTGAGACCCAGTGATCAGAGAGAAGCAGCAGTTTGTTCCAGTACTTCCACCTCCTGCCCCTCCCCATATGTAAGGCAGGCACTCCGGACAGTTTGTGACATTTGATATGAGTCCCTCTTCCCTAACAGTGTGTAAGAATAGCCAGCACTTTGCATAGACTGCTCCTCAGACCCTGACCAAAAAGGAAACGAAACACAGCACTGCCCAAGCTGCCCTGTTAACTACACTGCAACCCTTTAACGACTTCTTCTCGGGACACTGCTGCTTGGATTTACAGCACAGGCCCCAGTAAGGACAGGAAGCACAGCAACACCATAAAGGATTCGCGGGATGTGGGTACAGCAAGGCAGAGAGTAAAAGTCATGTTTGTGCTATCCACAGTGCAAAGTGCACCTGAGCACGTCTGCTCAGCGAGACATTGCACAAGAGAGGGAGAAAAAAAAGCAGTAATTTTGAAATGCAGGCATCCTTTCAAGGGGCAGGACCTAAACACAAGCACAGAGCAACACCTGCCATCACAACGCAGCCCGAGCAGCAGCTGCGATTGGGTGGCTCTGAAGAAAGCTCTGTTTAAAAGAGCACAAAGCAAGAAATACGAACAAGAGGAATTCACAACCTCAGCACTGCAGAGCAGGGATCTCCCAGCCAAGCCTTGCCTGAGGAAACAGGACAGACAATGTGCTGGCTCTGTGCTCTGCAGAACCAGGAAGATAAAGAAGAGCTCGAGTTATTGGAGCTGGGATGCAGCCTTACACATCCTACCTGTGACAGGCCATTTCTGCACATCATTTTTCCATGTGTGTAGGTTTTGTTTTCTTCATTTTATGGAAGAAGAATTCAGCTTTCATCTGCGTTCAAAATCACTGCTCTTAAACTTAAAACAGAAAGGCAACTTTCTCCTTTAATTCAGGTGCTTAATTATCCTTTGACTGAAAAGAGTCACAGTTTCAACCCCTTTCTCTTTTGCAGTGACTGCACTGACATACAGATCTAAGCACACAGCTGTCAGCCAGGTGGGGATCTGCTTATCTGCAGCACCAGGATGTGCAGGAAGCAACAAACTATGCAAGTGCACTGACACCAACGAACAGCCGGGTCTGTGCTTGCTGGTGGGACAACAAATAGAGCCACAAGGTGATTTATAGTGTTCCCAGTTTGGGCTATTCCCACTCCCAGCCTGCACAACAATCCTTTGCTTTGGAGCTCTCTTAATTAAAACATGCAAGTGACTTTAGACTCTTGTGCCATGTATAAGTAATTGTGTTTCCTCACCTTAATTTCTAAGGTTTCCCAGGGCATGTGAAACCAGCAGGTCATCATCACCTCCCCAGCCTTCAGGGCACTATTTACATCTGGTTCAGCCTCAGGAGCACAACAGCAGTCCAGCAACTCCTAAGAAGCCAGCTAGATCAGCAGTGTCAGCATTCAGACACTGGAGGGAAACGTGCAGGAGGATGCTTAACAGGCTGTGCTCAGCACTCTGCATGGGGGATCCCAATTTATTAGAGGAGGGGGCAGCAGGGCTCACCCACCAGCAACAACCAGAGGCTTCTAGGTGAAATCTTTCCATTCCAGCACTCAGAGACTCCCTGCAAGGCTGGCTGCAGAGGGAGGAGCATCAGAGCCCTGGAAAGCAGCAGCATCTGGTTCACAGCCCCAAAAATCCAGTAAGACCAGTAACAGCAGAGCCTGCCAGAGATTTCCATACAGTCCAGGATGGTACTTGCTCCGCTTGTAGCAACAGCTCCCAGCCCATGCAGGATGTAAGAATACTGCTGTGCCTTTAATCCCTCTTTGAAAACCAAGCAGCACGCCCAGAGGAGCAGTGCTTTGATTCTTAAGAGGCACAGCAGGAGCAGAGGGATCCACGAGGCCACAGCTCCAAAAGCCAGCTACTTTCAAACCCAGCACGGCCCTGCTCTGTCACAGCACTGCATTACATACCAGTGAAAGCTCTGCACTGCCTCTGCCAGCCAACCCAGCACCTTTTACGAGCTAAAATCACTTACAGTGTGTGACCGTGATGAACTGCTACAGCTTACTGCTATTCTAGCAAAGCAAATAAACCATCCTGAAGCTTGGCTGAGAGCGAGACGGCTGTGCCAACTGAAGGGAAAGGAAAGCACTTCTCAGTAGAGTTCAAAAGCTTCATTGAAATTCAGGTTTTTATTAAAAAAAAAAGAAGCATGAACTTAATAAGTTACACAATCTCTCAATTATAAATCCTGCATAAAATATATTTTACAATTTTTAAAGGAAGATTTTGAAAAACCTTTGACGAGTGCTGAAGAGTATCTTGACTTTGTGTCGTGCTGGTGAACAATTCTGTAGCTGCTACAAGTTTGATTTATCATAAGGCTTTAAAACAAAGACCTCACCACCAAACAGAACACACACCTCAAGAACTACTACTCCTCATGAACCGAGGACATGCCCAGTGTCACCCACCAGCTAAGCACCATGAGAGGGATTTCAGGTTCCCCCACCCTTTAAAGTGGCAATCAGTGCAAACAAGTGCTGTGGGAGTCAAAAAACATTTTTTCTGTGCCATTCATCAGCACCCAACTCTGTGGTGCAGCTCGGCAGCACGCTCAGTGTTCAACCTTTGAAGTGCTTGAGGAGAACCAGAGGACTTGCAGAGGACTTAAAGGTAAGTGCTGTTGTTCTGTAGCTTAATGCTGTAAGATTAACATAGTTGATTCTGTCTTTTGGGTGGGCAGGTGAGAGGAAGGAGCTAATGTGTTTCCAAAACCTCTCAGGTTTAGCATGGAAGATGATACATCCTCTTAAAACTTCACAAAATCCTCACTGGATGACTGGTGCTGGGATGGAAGTACTGTAAAAGTGCTGGTGCAGACAGCAAGAGGATTGCTCTCCTCCTGTCAATAACAAGCTGAGCCCTCACTTGCAATGAGCCCAGTTAAAACATGAGAATGAGCAGATCTCCACTTCCAGAGCACGAGAGGTGCATCTCTGCCTGTCATCCACTACCCACAGACAGGTTCCAAGCCCTGCCTTATAGCCTGAGCTCCCTGCAGGGTCAGCAGCACAACCCTGTTGTCACTCACCTCCTTCCCCACCAACTGATGCTCCCAGAGGTGCTCTGCTGCACTCAGCTGATGGATCACCTGAGAGTTCCTCCATGACATCTTCTGAACGTTAAACATTGCTTTGTTTCAAGGCAGCAATGCTCATCTGAGCATCCCTGTTCAGGTGAGCTGCCTTACACAAAGTGATGCAAAGTGACAAGGATTAAAGGCTAATGACCCCAGGTCTGCTGCCACCAGTGCTGCACCAGGTCAGAGCTACAGCTCAAAACTGCTGCTGCAGCCTGTACAGCCACAGAGTTCTGATAGAGTTAGAATCCTTTGCTTCTGGAGGAACAAGCAGTTATTCTGCCTGCACTGCTTATTCACACAAGAGAATGCATGTGTTCCATGTCCAAGAGGTGACAGTCACCTCTTCCTCCCCATCGCTCCCAGGTGACAGTAAGCATCAAAAAGGAAAAGCCTGTGCCCAGTGACATCCAATCCAGCTGTGCTGGACCCATAACTGAGTGCTCTTAAATCCAGAGCTTCAATGCTGCTGGATTCCCTCACCAGGCGTTCACATTCTCGCGATGGAAGCTCACAGTACTGTCCTATTCTAAGTACTCTGTTTGCTGCTGGACTACAGGTAGGAGAGCAGTGAGCACGTTGTGGAACTGCAGATTAGTGGATTAATAAAGTATTTGATTAGTAGGAGAAAGCAAAATTGAATGATTAATGACCTCACCAACATGCTAGCACCCAGCTGCACACACTTGGCATTGGAATCCCTCAGTGCTGAGCTCCTTGAGCTGTGAGTGCAAAGCTCAGCCACCTCAGCACTCTGAGAGCTGCTGACACACTTGCATCGTATTTTTTGCTCACAAAGTCAAGTCTTAGACCCTACCTTCAACAATAGATAAAAATAAATAATAAAGTTATCCCGGACCAAAGAAGGAATGATTCTCATCCATCTTATTCACCCAGTTTTCTAGCAGAACCCAAACATTCAGACCCACAGCAAATAATTTAGGAAAAGTGTCATTTCCTCATGGAATGCAACACACTTGCAGGCATACGCTCTCTGTCACTCATATGCATAAATATATACACAATTAACTTTACAAACCTGAAGATTTGCACTACCAGCATGCAAATCTCTTCTTCCAGGAGAGATCCTAATACTGATATAGGAAACTGGAATGTATTAAATACTCTGAGATCTGGCTGGAAATCAAGTCTCAGCTCTTAGGATGTCCCACTGCCAACGCACACAAACAAACATTGTCACATCTTAAGACTTAACACATAACATCCTGGAAACAAACACAAAGCATCTCTAACACAACTGCCAACATTCTTATAACGTATGGAACTCAAAATTCCATCAATAGAAACTACACCCTGCAGGTCTGAGATCGGGCTCGTTTCTTTACTGCCATTAAGTTGCACCATCTGCTGGGCAAGGAGCAGCTCTTCCAAGAGACGACCGCTCGGCAGCTCACGTGTCCCAGCTGCTGTCTTTAAAAGCTATGTTGACTAATCGCAGCTCTAGTTCAAAAGCATCAGGACGGTCCTGCGGGTTGGCAGCCAGCATTTCCTTAATCAACTGTTTCATCTGTGCATTCATGGATTTTTTCTTTACAGGGATGAGCAGCTCCATCTTAGGGTTTTCTAGCAGTGCCTCTCCAACAGGCACGATTGCTGAGCCCTGCTTGACGTAACTACCCAGGAGTTCCTTCTTTGTCTCTGTGTCTACAAATGTGATTCTTTCTAGCATTGCCCAGATTATGATCCCCAGTGCAAAAATGTCTGCTTTGGCAGTGTAGTGTCCTTCCCAGACTTCGGGGGCCATATAGAAGTCAGTCCCACAAGCAGTCGATAGGAAACACTTATTTACGTTGACTGGTTCCTCGGGATTCTGTCCTGAAGCTGAACATACCTTACTCAGCCCAAAGTCAGCTACTTTCAGCGTGGGCTCCAAGTCACTGGCATCCATCCTGCTCTGCGATATCAGAATATTGTCAGGTTTGAGATCACGATGAATAATCTGATTTTTGTGCAGGAAAGCCAGCGCACTGCTGAGCTGAAGCATGAAACTGGTGTTGGTCTTGCGGTTTGGTTTTCGAGACAACAGATACTCATTCATATCTCCTCCATCACAGAAATCCATTACAAACCAAAGGTAATAAGCGCTTCTGGGATCAAAGACTATTTCTCCTTTTAATGAGGTCTCTACAAGCTGCAATAAGGAAAAGAAGTGTCACAACTACCTGATGACCACAAAAATATCAAGATATGATGGGGGGAAAAAAAAAAAGCATGAATTTTGGATCTTCCTCTCAACAACCCAGAGAGTAAGGAATTGCAACTGGTAAAAATAAAAGTTCATGTCAAACTTCCGATTTAAAGAAAGAAAAAAAATCACAATGTATTTGCCAGCCTCGTTATTTTGGTGTGTGTGTGAAGCATATCGACATCACGCTCCTACCCAGAAGCCAGAGCCAGCCCCAGATAACAGCTTTTTGAAGGCTATCATGTAGTCATTGCACTCCCATCTGTTTCAGCTGGACAGTGTCCCACCCATTTCGCTAACTCCAAGTACAAACACAGCCTCAACCAGGAACCCCTGCACAGCACCACGAGGCTGTCTGTCCTCTGCTCATGAGGCAGCCTCACCACATGCTTTTGGAGCCTGCCCTCCATCCCTCACACGTGAATGCACTCTAACAAGCGTTAGCACAGGATCTCTTAGCTCAGGAGAATGCTAATCCACAGGCACAGCTCAACAGCTGCTGCAAGCAACACCTTTCTCACCACAACACACTAGCTATTTTCTAGGACATAAGCAGAGAATAACTCCAGCAGCTAGTTCCAATGGCCTCTTTGTACAATGTGCAACATACACCAGCAATTATGCTCGCTCTCTCTGTTCACACAGCTACAAATCTGTCTTTCCAGCTCCTTTGAGGTGGCTCTTCACATACTCCAGAACATAAGACTTGCTATTATTTCTGTTAGCAGTAAACCAGTGCTTACTAAAGCAGATGCAGCCTCTACAGGCCTTCAAAAGTTAATACAGCTATTAATACATAGAGAGACATATTAAAATTGTAAGAAGTGGGTTTTTTTCCCCCATCCGAGAGCAAAATTAGTAACAAATTATAACTACATTTAATTGTGAGCACAGTTAGTACTCAAACCAACTTAAGAGCAATTCTGTGTTAGAACTTAAACTGCATATTCAGGTTTACAGCCAATAACAGCAAAATGGGAACCGCAGCACAGGAGGGAGCGACCCCAGCACGCAGCTCTTCCCTCCACTCAGCCTCACTGGAGCTGTGCTCGGGTCTCAGTTCAGAGCACCAGGATGACAGAATTCATCTCCAGATCTGGGACTGCAGCACAAGGAAGCCACACCAGCTCAGAGCTCTCTACGAGAGCCCAGCTCAGCTGGCAGCAGTTACAGCACCTGCCCTGAAGCACTGCAGGAGACACCAACAGCCCTTCCCAGGCCTCCTCACACCGCACCAGTTCAGCTCAGTGAAGGAATATCACCTGGAGTGGGCAGAAGAGAGGGCAAGCCAAGGGAGACGTGGGTTTCTCTCTTTCAGCGCATGCTATCATCAAGTGATCTCTGTGCTCAGCTCTGCCCTTTGCTCTGCTCTGCTCTTTGAAGCAGGAAAACAACTCGCAGCACTTGTGCCACAAACACGGGCAAGGTCTGCACGCTGCACTGCTTGAAAAACCTGGCGCTGCAGTGACCTGGAAGCTCTTCTTCACTCGTGGTCCCACCCTGCAGCCTCCCTCACACCCCTCTTTTTCCCCCTCCAGACTTCTCCCTGTACAGCTGCCTGCATGCAGTATCTTACAGCTCCACCAACAAGATAAGGTACTACTTTTTCCCCATGTGAGCTGACCAGTATTATTTCACCCTAATCCCTTTGGGGCAACGTGCCAGTAACGATGACTGAGCTACAGCAAGTTGACAAAGGCAAGAAGCCTTTCTCAGGCTCACAGAGCACCCAGCACAACAGGATCAGAACAGCTGTGAAGTGTTGGCAAATGAGTGCTCACTCACAAAAGGTTCAATGTCAGCCATGCAAGAATGACAACAATAAAAACTGAAATGATAGAAGCTGATCAGGGATAACACAGCAAATGTTTAGCAGGCCACTGACTTTTTAACATCAGAGAGACAAATGTCTGCCAGGGGATGATTAATAGCTGGGGCAGACTCCTAGCAAGCTCACATGAGCTTTCAGGTCCTTCCAGAGCTACGTATATCTCAGAAATATTTGCCTTTCAACTTCTAGGCAACTCAATTTTCAACAGCCCCACATAAGGGATAGCAGTATTTACTCTTCTATTCCTCTACATACCACACATTTACTTCTCTTTGAAGTTATCTACCCAAAAAAGAAATTAAACCAGCTCACTGAGCTTCCTTAATTGATTATTACTTCTGGGAGCATTAAACGTTGGCTTGCTATATCAAGACAGCCCCTTCCCCTTCTAGAGGCATCTGACATTATGAAATTCTTCAGAGCTCTGCCTCAAGACATCAGTACTGCTCACTAACCTGCAGCACAACTCTACCAAGAGCCTGCACCTCCCTCATGCCTTATCTGTGGTGTTTCCCCAACTTAGCAAAGCAAGTCCTGGAGCCTTTAGAATGGCATGGCTTCAAATTAAAAAGACCAGGTGATTGTTCAATAGATAAGCTCTTTTAAAGACATAAAATAAAGCAAACGACACCCTTTCCTTCCTAAGCATACCTCAAGAAAACCATCTTAGCTACCCACCTCCTTCCCTCCCAGCTGCACATCCACATAAGCACTTCCACCCCATTACCTCAGCTTCATGTACCTGTAAATAAAGGGAGGAACTGGAGCCATGTGACATCTTCTGCACCATGCCATCTTTCTGCAAGATGCACTCCTCCAGGTGAATGACGTTGGGATGCTGGCTCTTGATACTGCTAAGTGCCCAGAACTCACGCAGAGCTAGTTCCACGTTCTCTGGAGCATGGCACCGAATCTTTTTCACTGCCACCCGTGCAGAGGTCTTCCTGACGACTGCTTCGTACACCACACCATAACTGCCACGACCAACCTCCCGTATTAGATCGTACTTAGGCTGGCTACTCACCATCTTCAAGATCAAAGGTTCTGGGGAAGGGGGAAAAACCCACAGAACTATAACTTATGAACGAGAACTGAGCTGTGTTTTCCCCCATATGGCCTGGCATGGCAATGCCAGCTGCACCAACACCCTGTGGTGAGCAGGGCTGTCCCTGAGCATCGCACTGAATGCAATGCTGTGCTGGAATACTTCAGAAGTCACTCTGTAAGCTTGCAGCCACGCTAAAGGCTGCCTAATACCTCATTTGGGTGGGACTGCACGATTTCAAACACAGCTCAGCGTTCAAGAAGGCAACAATTCAAACCTAGAATTGCACTGCGCTGAGGCAGGGCTATCCCATATCCTGCTGCTCCTTTCTCTCAGTGTCTTTTGGGAATTTCTATGCGAATAACAGGACTGTTTCATGCTCTCCATCCACACCCGGGCTATCAGAGAGGTTCTAGCTGAAACCTGCGGTTGAGGAGCAACAGAATGAAACAGAGCTGACTTTTAAGACGACCGCATAGGTAAAGATTTGCGTTCTAATTTCGCAATGATTTTTTTTTGTTTTTCCTTCAGAGACGAGAGAGGAAAGTTTCACCGATCTTTTAACACCACTATGACTTCCCAACTAAACTCCTACAGTCACAAAAATAACAATAATAAAAAAGAATCAAAAAGAAAAACTGGCAGCAGCGGCAGCAGCACCCAACAGACTTCGAAGTTACTCGACAGGATAAAAGCCGGGGCGATGCTCTGTGAGGAAAACAACGCACGAGGCTGGGGGTGAGGAGGAAGGGCAGCCCCGCACAGCGCCCGGCTCCGTCACACACAGAGGATCGCATCAGTTATTAGCGGGGAGCTCGTAAATGATTCCAGCGCGGTAGGAACTATTTGTTCGGAGAAAAAAAAAAAAAAAAGAGAAAAAGAAAGAGAGAGAGAAAGAGAAAGACAGGCATCGTCAGTGCGACGGCACCGCGCGCACTCCAAGCTCCGGCGAACCTCGAGGCCTCGCTCAGCCCCTGAGGCCGCACCTGGACCCGTCGCGGCGCTCACACAGCGGCGCTCTGTTCCCGCCCGCCCCCTCAGCGCCCGGCCGCTCTGTGACGCGCGGCAGAACCGCGCAGCGCCCGCCACGGCCCCGCGTTACCTCAGCACCAACGCCGCGCCGCCGCCGCCCGGCCGCCATCATAGGGACCGACCCCGGCGCCACGCCCCCTTCCGCCACGCAGCCTTCTGATTGGCTGCAAGGTGGGGGGGCGGGGGGAAGTGGGAGAGATGAGCGTGCGCACGCGCATGCGCGCAGCGCTCGTGGGTGGCGGCGGCGGCAGTGGCAGCAGCGGTGGGCGCTGCGGCTGTTTGCGTCGCGTTTGTTGTTGTGTGCGTTTGTTTGTTTGCTTCTGTTTGTTTGCTTCTGTTCGTTTGTTTGCTTCTGTTCGCCCTCTAACAGCGCTGTGTGCGTTGGCCCTTGTAGCTTCGCAAGGACTCTCCTCGTTTCCCCACGTGTGCATGTCCGTATTTGTCTGTTTCTGTATTTATCTGTTTCTTCGTTGCTTGGGGTGGGACAACACCCAGCACTTCTCTGCTGCACTTCGGCTGTGTATCTGCACCGCAGCTTTGCAACGACAGCCTTTCTATTCATTTACCTCTGTGTTTAATTACCCTCTCTTACCTATTTATTCACTTAGCCGTTTGTTTACCTATCCCTCTATTTACCCATCTGTTTCTTTATCCATTTATTCACCTGCCCGTTCGGTGGCAGCTCGGGGTTGCTCTGCTGTCCTCAATGGCAGCAGGGAGCAGACGGTTGTTGTGTGTGCAACGCTGAGCTCAGCACCCCAGCTTGGTTTGGCAGCCGTGCCTGCGGTGCTCAGAGCCAACCGGGGGCTGAGGAGGGCTGGGAAACCGATTGGGATGTTACATACAGCCCATCCTCTCTTGGGAATCCCCTTCACGGAGTCCAGCATTGATGAGTTCAGCGGGAGGGGCCAGCACTGGGACAGGTGTGCATCCGGTGGCCACCCCCCCCTCATTCTCCCCCGTGTGCTCTCAATGTACAAAGCTCCCTGGAAGGGCTCCCAGTGCCAAAACGGGGACAATTTTGCAACGTGTGCTTGGCCAGCCTCGGCGAGGTCACTTGGTTGGCGTGTGAGTGCCTTCCTGGAAGGAGCGTCTGGAACAGCCACAGGCTGTCCCTCCCTGGGGGGTGCATCTGTGGCAAAGTCACAGAAACACAGAATGGACAGGGTTGGAAAGGACCTCAAGGATGATGAATCTACAACTCCCTGCCACAGGCAGGGCCACCAACCTCCACATTCATTACCAGCCCAGGCTGCCCAGGGCCCCATCCAACCTGGCCTTGAACACCTCCAGGGATGGACGGGGCATCACAGCCTCTCTGGGCAGCTGTTCCAGCACCTCACCACTCTCATAGCAAAGAACTTCCCCTTCACATCCAACCTCAATTTTCTCTCCCTCAACTTCAAACCATTTCCCTTTGTCTTGCTGTTATCTCCTCTTTCAAATAGTTGATTCCCCTCCTGTTTGTAGGCTCCCTTTAGGTACTGAAAGGCTGCAGTGAGGTCACCCCGCAGCCTTCTTCTCTCCAGGCTGAACATGCTCAGCTCCCTCAGCCTGTCTTTGTAGGGGAGGTGGTACCTTAAATCAGAGTCCCCGCAACATGCAGCCATGAGCCTGTGTCCCTGTGCACAAGTGTAATCATACAGCTGTGTGCCCATGTGTCCATGTAGTCGCATACCCCATGTGCCCATGCATCTGTGTACCTTTGCAACCTGTGTGCCCATGCACCCAAGTTGCACATGTAACCTCATACTCATGTACCCCTGTACCCGCATGTTCATGCATCCATCATGCACTCATGTATCTGTGCACCCATGCACCTGTGCACTCCTACACCCCTCTAAACAGACACCTGTGCATCCCTGTTCCCATATACCTATGCATCTGTGCTTCCGTGTGCCCATAACTGTGCACCCACAACCCACATAACCCAGCATCTCACCACCTGTCCCTTTGGACACTTGCAGCACCTCCTGCCCGTAGGCTCTGTGGGCAACAGAGCAACCACCTCACCCCACCCATCCCGTGACTCAGAGCAGAGGTGTTATAATTATCCTCTCTCCCCTGCAGCTGCCAATATTTACAGGTCTCCCTGTGCACTGGTGCTGTGATTTGGAAGAACACCCTGTTTACTGGTGTGCTAGCTGACAGCCGGGCAATGTGATCGGGGCCGCTCCCAGCAGTCTCCCTGGGGCAGTCTGGAGGGGCCACGCTCCTGTTTTCCTGCTGATGTTTCTGGGTCAGGTTTTGCAAACAAGTGCGGGGCACGGCCAGGCAGGCGGGCTGTACAGCGTGCTGACCTTGGTGACCTCCTTGCAGCCTGCTACATGGATTTTTGGGGTGGAGAGAAGCGTGAGGAGGAGAGGCTGCATGCACCAACTGCATGTGCTGCATCCCCCAGGCGCTGCGGTTCTGTAAAAAGCCATCGGCCGCCCTGCAGGTGCTTTGCACCCCACAATGGTCACATTCTGAGGGGTTCAAAGGGCAATGCTCCATGCAAACCCTCAGCCTGGCGCTTCCTCATCCCAACTCCACGCAGCACCGACCCCCCCCCGGGTCTCCCGGCGTCCCCCAGCAGGACCATACGGACAGCATGTCCCCAGCTTGTTTACTGCGGCCGTGCGCCTCGATTGTCACCACCATGTGACAGGTGATGCCTTCAGACAGCCGAGCCAGCTCCACGTGACTGCTGGGCGATGGATAAAAGCTGCGTGAGGGGCTACGGCAGCAGAACTGGGGTTGCTCTGAGGAGGAGCAGTAGTGCCGTACCGATGGATTTCCAGCCTAGCATCCTGCGCGATGGCAGCCCCATGGAGAGCCTGGAGAAGCAGCTGCTGTGCCCCATCTGCCTGGAGATGTTCAGCAAGCCTGTGGTGATCCTGCCCTGCCAGCACAACCTCTGCCGCAAGTGTGCCAATGACATCTTCCAGGTGAGATGAGGACCCCCCTGGATGTTGCCCTGCTCCGGGATGCTCTGTGCAGGCACCAGGGGACACTCTGATGCCCCTGTCCCCCTCCAGGCTGCCAATCCGTACTGGCAGAGCCGAGGCAGCAGCATCATTTCGGGGGGCCGGTTCCGCTGCCCTACGTGCCGCCACGAGGTCCTGCTGGACCGCCACGGTGTCTATGGGCTGCAGAGGAACCTGCTGGTGGAGAACATCATCGACATCTACAAGCAGGAGTTCTCCAGGTTGGTCCCATGGGGACACAGGGACTGCCACGTCATTTTGTTTTGGGCGAGAAACTGGGGGGCTGGCTTGGTGCTCCCCCCCCACCTGTCCCTAACCCAAATCTCCACCTCACAATTGAGATCTCCGTTCTCAACTCAAATCTTTACCCTCAACCCAAATCTTCATCTTCCAGCCTGTGCCATTCTTGGTCTGCAGTTGCTCCCTCGGGACAGGGGGACCCTGCAGGGGGTGGCAGAAGAACGAATCTTGCCCCCAGCCTGGCACCCTGCAGCTTTGGCTTTCGGTTGAAGATAAGGGGTGTGAGGGACAAATCCAGGCTCTGCCTGTGACAGCAAGGAATGATAAGGGACAGGGGGACAGCCTGAGGGGTTTGATGGCATTGCTCAGTGGCAGAGGCGCAGCAGGAGGGGAAAAGACAGGGGGGCGATGTTTTTTAAACAACCCAGACATGTGGGTTCGTCTCCCCATTCTCCTGCCCCACTGTAAATATTGTTCCAGCGCCATGGAAACAGGGATGGAAGGCACGTGGCAGGTGGCTGCAGCCCCCGGGGGGGAGCTGGCGAACCCCCCAGTGGTGACTCAATTGCTGTCACCCCCCTGAGCTCCCTGGAGCCCCTGCCTGGGTCATGCGTTGGATGATAATAATAAATGCCAGCAGCACTCAGCTAAAATTAGGAGCTTGTGCAGCATCCCTGGAGCGTGGCCCCAACTGCTGCCATAGCTGATGACACACTGCTGCAAACTGGGCTTACTGGGCATGCAGGAGGACGGGGGCCAGGATCTGGTTATGGGCAGTAGTTCTGCGTTGGTGGGGAAGTCACTGCTGTGGGGATGTCACCATGGTGGGAACATCACCGCGATGGGGACATCAATATGGCGGGGATGTCATCATGCTGGGGATGTCATCATGGCCGGGCTGCTCTTTCCAGCAGGCCACTCAAGAAGGGGGAGCACCCCATGTGCAAGGAGCACGAGGATGAGAGGATCAACATCTACTGTGTCACCTGCGAGGTCCCCACCTGCTCCATGTGCAAGGTCTTCGGTGCTCACAAGGACTGTGAAGTGGCCCCTCTGCAGAGCATCTTCCAGGGCCAGAAGGTGCCATGGGGGGGACATGGGGCCACGGTGGGGCATGGCCAGAACTGGGCGATGTGCTGAGCTAGGGTGGCTGCAAATAGCATTGGGATGCCTCATGGGGTATTAATAGGCAGTGGGCTGACTTTGACCAGGAGACAGCCCTATATTTAGTGTGATGCCCCCCCTCTCAGCCTGTGGGATGGGGGATGGACGGTGATATCCTGGCAGCACCCATCCCTGCCCTGCAGGAGTTAAAGCTGCTTCTGTCCATCTGTCCCTGACCAGAGCGAGCTGAACAACTGCATTTCCATGCTAGTGGCAGGGAACGACCGCATCCAGACCATCATTTCCCAGCTGGAGGATTCCTGCCGCAGCACTGAGGTGAGGGACAGGGAAATATAGACCCCGAAACCCAGTGCTGGGGGAACCAGCCCCTGAGCAGAGGACATAGGAGCTGGAAGGACACGGCTTTGTCCCCACAGGAGAACAGCGAGGCAGCCAAGCAGGAGCTCTGTGCACGTTTTGATGCATTTGCAGCGCTGCTGGAGGAGAAGAAGATGGAGCTGCTGGGACGCATCACCCGTGAGCAGGAGGACAAGACAGGCTTTGTGCAAGGCCTCATCCACAAGTATAAGGAGCAGCTAGAGAAGTCCAGCCGGCTGGTGGAAACGGCCGTCCAGGCCATGGAGGAGACCGACGGGGCCGCCTTCCTCATGGTGAGATCCTCAAGCCCTAAAGCCCTCGCTTCCTATAGGGAACCCCTTGTGCCACGTCCTGGTGGCACAGGGACATGCTGGCTGCTGCTGCTCTGCCACCCTCACCTTTCCTCTTAATCCCACAGAATGCCAAGCAGCTCATTAAAACGTAAGTGCCCAAACTGGGGGAAGTTGGGGGATCCCCATCCTCTGCCAGGTGTGGACCATATGGCTCTGCTCTACGCTCGGGGCTGTGGGACCACTGCTGTGCTCCCTCCCCCAGGATTGTGGAGGCCTCCAAGGGCGGCAGGCTGGAGAAGATTGAGCAAGGCTATGAGAACATGGATGCCTTCACAGTCAATCTTGAGCACCTCACCGATGCCGTCCATGCCTTGGACTTTGAGTCAGGTAATCCCACCCCAAAAACCCCTCTGGGACCTGGAAACGAGGGTCCTTCAGCAGCTGCCCCTCACTGACATCTGGTGCCCGTTTGCAGATGAGGAGGATGAGTTCTATGAGGAGGTGGAAGAAGATACAGGAGACACAGAACCCGAAAGGGTAGCAGCAGGTAGGGCCTCTCTGTGCCAGCATCGCCAGCATCACGGTGGAACCCCCACAGACAGAGGGGATGATGGAGGGTTGATGAAGTCCCACTCACTGCCCTCTCCCTCTGCAGCCCCCCAGTAGGACGCAGGATGTCCAGGACAGAACCTGGGGACACGCTGACGGGGCCAGCCATCCAGCTCCAGTACAGGACACTTTTCTATACGGGTGCCAAGAGGACTATTCCGCACATTTTATATGTTCCTTGTTTTGTATATAATTGTAATGGAGTTGTGTATTTTGTACAGAAAACCGGTGCTCTGGCTTTTTTTTCCCCCCACCCCTCACCTCTCATTTTCTCACTTGTCCCTGTGATGGGTTTGGGGATGTGGGAGGGTTCCCTGGTTTGGGACCAGTGCCTGATTCTCAGCCTAATTAACACCTCCAGTGGCACTGGCACCCCATGCTGGCCACACTCCCGGGATGTGACAGGTCAGCACCTGGAAAGATTTATCCCAGTGCTTACCCAGCCTCAGGGATGTTGGGTGACAGCACTCCAGACTCTGCCAGCCCCAAAAGGGGCCAGCATGGAGCTGAACTCACACGGGTCCAAAATCACAGCACAGTCGGGTTCTCCAGTGCCAACACAAACCCAGCTTGGGGTCGAGAGTAAACTGAGGCAGTGCTGAAAGCAGTGCTCAGTGCTGTGCCGTGACTGCAGTCAGCCCCACAGCAATGAGTGCTGTCCCTGGAGGCAGTGGGGGGCAGTCACTGCTATGGGGGTGTCCAACCACAGATCCCAGGCAAGATCCACCTGCCCAGCTGGATTTAAACTGGGGGAAAGCGAGGTTCCCATGGTGGGAAGGGAGTGCACGGGGGGGGGTCAATGCAGCCCTGTCCTTGAGGGGTGCAGCTACATCCTGCATGCAGCATACGATGTACCCCTGGGATGCACGTGGGGAGCAGCCCCCCCGTTACACCGAGAGCCCCCCGGCTGCGGGCTGCGGCACGGCCAGCCTGGGGCGAGGCTCAGCAGGCGCTTTGCAGCCGGCCTGGCCCTCCTCCCCCGGCCTGGCTTTGCACACGGGTCCCGCCGCTCCACACGGCCGCGACCGCAGCTGCCACCAGCGCAGGACCCGCACCGGGGTCACCAGCGCCGGCTTCCGAAGGATGGCAGCGGGCGGAGGGGAGAAGCAGCAGCTGCTGGGCGAGGGCACGGGCAGGTAAGGGGGTGCGCGGAGGGGCTGCGTGTACCCTCACGGGGCTCCTGGATGGGGTCCCCGTGGCCAAAGCCGTCTGTTCAGGGAGAGGACCTGGGGAAGGGGACGCGTAGGAGCAGAGCTGAATGCAAAGAGCGGGCTGCAGGTCCCCTCCTCCCTCCCCCCCCCCCCGCCCCCCACCCGGGGGCCCGATGGCACCCGTCCCCGCAGGTCCTACCTGGGCATGGCACAGAAGCACACAGCGGGCTCGGCGCAGGGCCAGACGCCCACCCTGGAGCTGAGAGCACGGCACCGCCGGCACTGCCATGCGGGGGGGGCTGGCAGTGACCCCCGCCAGCAGCAGCGGGCGCGCAGGAAGCTCTATGTGGCTGCTGGCATCTGCCTCATCTTCATGGTGGGGGAAGCTGTGGGTGAGCGAGTGCTGGGTGAACATATTGCCCTGCATGGCACCTCTTGTTCTGATCTGTGCAATGGGGCAGGGTTCCGTGCTTTGCAGTGAGGTGACCCAGTCTGTGTTTGGCTCTGGATGGGGATCTCCCATCCATACTGCAGGCGGGTATCTGGCCCACAGCCTGGCCATCCTGACGGACGCTGCCCACCTCCTGACGGACTTTGCCAGCATCATGATCAGCCTCTTTGCCCTCTGGGTGTCCTCACGTCCCGCCACCAAAACCATGAACTTTGGTTGGCACCGTGCAGGTAACCTCAGGATCCTGCTGCAGCCCCACTGCGTGCCATCCCCAGGGCACAGTGACATCTGAGGGCTGTCTGCAGAGATCCTAGGGGCCCTGCTCTCCGTGCTGTCCATCTGGGTAGTAACTGGTGTCCTGGTGTACCTGGCGGCCCAACGCCTGCTCTTGGGTGACTACGACATCGAGGGCAGCGTCATGCTCATCACCTCTGCCTGTGCTGTGGCCGTCAACATCGTGTATGTATGATGTGCTGTCACCCCCTGGGCAGGAGGTCGGTGGCTGGAGGATGTCACCACTGCCCTGCCTGCAGGATGGGGGCAGCTCTGCACCAAACGGGGCACGGGCACAGCCATGGAGGGGCTCATGAGCAGCCCCACACCCATGAACAGCCCAATCCCAGCGTCCGTGCAGCCTTCGTCCACGTGGTGGGGGATCTGCTGCAGAGCGTCGGCGTCCTCATTGCATCCTACATCATCTTCTTTAAGGTCTGGAGGGGAGGGAGACATGGGGGACGTGGGCTTGTCCAGCCGTGAGGTCAGATGGGGCTGAGTGCCAGTGCGGATTTGGCTGCACTTGGGGGGGTTTCACCTGCTCCCACCCCCCCCAGCCCGAATACAAGTACGTGGACCCCATCTGCACCTTCCTCTTCTCCGTGCTGGTGCTGGGGACAACGCTGACCATCCTCCGCGACGTCCTCCTCGTCCTCATGGAGGGTAGGGAGCCCCCCGGGGGCTGATGATATGTGCCCCCCCTCCCGTGGATGCCTTGTCTCCATCCCACCCCGCGTCCCTCCAGGCACCCCCAGGGGGATGGACTTCAACGCGGTGCGGGACACGCTGCTGGCGGTGGGCGGCGTGGAGGCGGTGCACAGCCTGCACATCTGGGCGCTGACAGCCTCGCAGCCGCTGCTCTCTGTGCACATCGCCATCAGTGAGTGCTGCTGGGCCGGGGGAGGGGGTTGGGACGCGGGGGGTTTCCCCGGCCCCCAACACCCCTCCGGGCTCCTTGCAGATGCGGGTGCCGACTCGCAGGAGGTGTTGGAGGAGGCCAGCTCCCGGCTGCAGCGCGCCTTCCGTTTCCACACCACCACCATCCAGATCGAGAGCTACTCCGAGGACATGCGGGACTGCCGTGAGTGTCAGCCTCCCAGCGACTGAACGACGCTGACCCCCGCCGTTCCTCCCCGTCCCTCTCCCCACCAATTTTTTTTTTTTTAATACGAGGAAAATAAACGCCAGCAAACAACAGCGCCGGGTGCCCGCGGGGGATGGCTTCGGGATAGGCGATGTTGAGTCTGGAGGCAGCGGGGATTTATCGGGAGTGACGGCAGTGAAAGCAGAGCCAGGGCTGCAGGAGCAGGCGGGGGGG